GATTTTATAAGAATTTATTTCGAAACAACCCAGAAATGGTTTTCGAGTTTTGACAAGGCTACATGCCATATAAAAATCTCAAATTTTAATCACAAGTATTATAACAGCAACATTATAACATATCCAAAAATCATAATTTTTGGAGAAACACAAGAATTATAGTGATTTTAGCAAAAACAGTCTGCAGCACGATTTTCAAAAATCCATATCTTACAACTTACACAACGAAACGACACAAGGCCAAAAACGTTGTGTCAAGGACATTCCTTAAGTCCCAAATTCCACAGCAATCCTATGGGTAATAACATATTCACCTCAGTTCGACAATTTTTCAAAGTGACGGCAATCACTTTGATATCCAACGGCAATTATATATATATTAAAATTCACACGAACTAATTACTAACGCATATAACTAGCTCGTATATCACACGTACAACAACTATCACGTAGCATATTACAACAACACAAGATAACACATGATAGTTCACAAATATACATGACACAAACATAACCGAGGGGGTTCGAGCCTAGGTACCGTTCTCGGGAAAACGATAAACGAGCAGCCGTAAGCCCAAATTGGGCTGAACGGACTGCATGCGTGCACCGACGGGGATCCACGGCTATGCTCGGCTCACTGACGGGACACAGTTTGATGGCAGCGGACGACGGACGGGGCCTGGAACTTGCCGGGGCTCGTGGCTGCTCGTTGGACAAGGTCGTTGGATTCGGTGAGAGGGGCTGAGATAAATTCCCCGGACCTGCTACTTGTTGTTTGTCGGGCTTGAAGAAATGGATGGCGGGTTGTTCGTCGGAAAAGTTACGGTTCACTCCGACGGGACTAGCGGTGGATCAGCGGTCCGCTGGCCTTGAGCGGGCTCTCGACTTACGATTGAGATGCTGCTCGCGGGATGGTGGTGATGGTACTGAGAGTTCGCTGAGGGAGGGGTGGTGAACCAGCTCCTGGTGTGGTGGTGCGCGATCAGAGAGGGCAAATTCTTTTTTTGATTTATGTACGTGAGTGTAATACCGCGTTTTATTGTGGAATATTTGGGAATAATTATTGATTAATGCAAATATTAATTGTCTTTATTATTATATATTATTATTATTATTATTATTATTATTATTATTATTATTATTATTATTATTATTATTATTATTATTATTATTATTATTGTTGTTGTTGTTGTTGTTATTAAATGCCAATTTGCTATTATTTGTTGTTATTAATAATATTACTATTATTAATATTAATTGTCTAAATGTTATTTTTATAATTAAATAAAATGTGTATAATATATATATATATATATATATATATATATATATATATATATAAGCGCAGACTATTATTCCTAAGTGTTAAACCGAGAGTCGGCCCGAGTCTCGCGGTAATAGCCCTTTTAAGTTATTTCTTTTCGGCCTTTATGAGATATAGTTTCGGCCTAATAAGCTCTTGTATCATTTTTGGCCCTTGTAAACTTATTTCAGCCCTTTACAAGTTTTTAATTCGGCCCAATTAATTTATCTCTCGGCCCGGATGAGTTGATTAATTTTGGGCCTATTTGGAAGGAAAATAGCTTGTTGAAAGCCGCTACTAGTAACGTTTTCCTCTGCCTTATCTGTACAAAATTTGTTGCGATATTTTGATTTTTATCGCACAATATTCTCCCTCGTTCGCGTTCATAAATTTCCGATTGATTAGATTTTTCATCCCAAAAATCGCTCTAAATCCCTCCATCTCTCTCTCAATCGTGAAGCAGAAAGAAAAGGCGAAGAAAATCGATCGCCTCTCTTATCTTTATCCCTCTCGAATGTGTTCAGAAAAAGTAGAGAACTCTGTCCTCTATTCGCACGTCTGAGCAGGTTCCAGAAAACCAGGCCTTTTCAGCCGGCGATCCTCCATAGCCGCCGCGCGGATGAGCAACTGATTCCGTCGAACTTCCATGCCATCCCTGTCGCGAGAACCCCGCTAGTCACCTCCATTGTTGTGCCTGTGCGCAAGCTCGGTGAGTTCCAGGCCCCATTCGCTACCCTCGTCGATACCTACAGCCCGTCAACACTCCCCGGTCCACGTCCGTGCCCTGCTGTTCGTGAGTTTCCGGCTGCTACCTCGTCACCGCTACCAGCTCGCGTGACCTTGTACCTGCTTTCCGTGCTTACCGGTCACTATCGAAACCCGCTGATCATCCCTCACGACCCGCTGTTCATGCTCAGAGAACCAACAGGACTCTACAGCAGCGAACCACCGATGAAGCACGTAGCTGTTGTTTCTTTTCAGTGGACACCGGCCGTTTGTCGGGCCCGTGCGTCGAGCAGACCTAACCCTTTCTCCCGGAGAGCAGCGACTGTATTCTATCATTAAAACCCGAGTTCCCTCGGAGCACTAACCGTAGCCGTCGAGTTCCGTCGGAGCGCACGTGTAGCCGTTGCAGCCCCGGTTCGGCCCTTTCGCGTGTCCCCGTCCCGAGAACGGTACCCGGGCTAACTCTCGACTTATTTCTTTTGCTCCTATATATGTTTAGGTGCTCGTATGCGTGTTATATTGCTGATCGTGTGATTTTCAAGTTAATTTCGTGCATTAGCTATTTACTTGTGTGATTATTGATATATAATTGCCATTTGAATATCAAAGTGATTGCCGTCACTTTAAAAAAAAAAAA